GATAGATAGATAGATAGATAGATAGATAGATAGATAGATAGATATTGATAGATGACGATGCTAGATGCTAGATAATAGACAGATAGACAGACATTATCTTTATACTCTGAGAATGGGGTTCCTTTTACCTAGGCATTATGTTGGCAGCCCCAGGGAACAAGGAATTCCATTCAGGTGGACAAAGTAGGGTTTTTCCCATCACTCTTCCCTCCTTTGTGGGTTGAGGGAGAGTGCTCTCCATTCTACCTCAACCAGCCTCTTGAAGACTTTTTTTTCTTGCAGGCTAGTCATTTCTACGAACAAATTTGTAAGGTCACATGGAACCATGACTGGAAAATATCTATCCAACTTACCTACTGACACAGTAGAATGCCACCAGTTTGAAGATGTCTTCAAACACAAGAAGAGATCCTTCCAGGTGCAGTACTGATGAGAAATAAGAAAAGTATTCAGGGATTGGTCTCACTATATCAGAGAGATTGATGCATGATGGTCTCGTTCTGAAATGGCCACTTCACAGCAGGAGAAATGGCAAAAATTGGTGATGTGTCCCATTTCATTGGTGCTGTTCAAAAAATAAAATATAGTGACAGATAACAATTTGACATTTGCCACAAATATTTTGCTGTGAAGTTGAAATGAAACTTATGAGCCAGAATCAAAATAGCTTACACTGTGCTGTTCTACTTCCTATCAATTTGTTTAAAACCTCCTCCTCAGAGCAAGGATTTTATCCCATTGCTCAAATCTCATTTCACTCAGAGACAGAGCTACAAATCCTGCACACTGATTATGCCTCAGCAACCTCTGATACGATTAAACAGAACAAAGCATTCTGCAATGAAAAGAAAGAGAATAGCTTAGCAAAAATAGTCCAGTAATTGGCAGAAAGCACAACATTATTTGGTCTGGAAAACAAGTACTGTGACTTCTCCTATGTCTATTTGAAAAGAACAACTAGGAACTTCTCTAGAGCAAAGAGATAATGTAGTTATGGAATGACTGGGAATGACAAGTTAAAAATTAGAAGACATCTAAATGGGGAAAATACGTAAAGCAAAGTATCCCTTGAATGAAGACTTGCTATGTGGACAGTCTATTGGTTGTTTTTTTTGCAACAGTATAGACATGTTTTGCTGTAACCTATTTTTTTGTTTTTAAATTGCCCAGTCCAGTCTAAACCCTGGAACTTTTGGGAGGTTTGCTGAGCCCAACTGCTGACGTTGTGCAGTGGCTCCAATTTGAAGGGAGAAATATGATTCAGGTACTTGTGAGTATGCATGTAACAATTGTCAGCACCTCCTCAAATTAATCTTCTTCTTGAAATTCTGTACAAGACCAGAAAGGATGTCATTGTTTACGGACTTGCTACAAGATACTATGGGTATGCCCACACATACTGTAAATTACTTTTTCCTTAGCCATTCCAAAGAGGGTTGATTCAGCTTTTGGCCAAATACAGTTATAACAGGAGTATCTGGAGGAAGGGAAGGAAAGGAAAGGGAGGAAGGAAGGGAGGGAGGAAGGGAAGGCGGGATTTCCTTGTTAAACTTGATTTAAAAATTTAACTCAGATGTCTGCAGGAGGGAAGAGGGGCAGGTCAAAAATTCAAGATGGTGCCACAATTACACAAGTCACAGATCTGCCCTATTATTTTTTTTTATATGACATGACAAATCACCTCATCACATTTAACTCACTCTCCCAAATTGGTTGGGTTTTGTTTGTGGATGGCCCTTAAATTCCATCCTGAGCACTGGTGGGATTTTCTTACCTTCCCTACCAGTTCACAAATGTGGGCTTGTGCACCGCCTTCTGTGCATGCGCAGAAGGTCAGGCATTACGTCGGGGGGGGGGGGAAGTCTCCCGCAGCCGCTGCTACCGGTTCGCCCGAACCGGAGAGGATCAGCTGAATACCATCTCTGATCCTGAGCATGTGTTCTTGTAAGCTTGCTCACTGTTATGTGACAATTAAGACTCGGCTTCACTAAAGCTCCTGCATAACCTTTGTTTTCACATTTAGTCTGACAAATATGTATACTAAAACACCCACACACTCTGGAGATAAGAAAAATAAAGTGCCTTATTCCAAAAAAAATACAGAAGAGAAAAGAGGAAATGGTGACCCTTTGCTAGAAGCAGGCTTTTTCAAGGAGCTCAGCTGAACAGGAAGAGGATTTAGCTTCATAATGGATTTTTTTTT